ACAAGCATCAGAAGAGAGACTAGATAACTGGGAGCTCCTAAAAATCAAAGACTTAGGCTCATCAAAAGACTTCACCAAAAGAGTAAAAAGACAACCTACAGACTGGGAAAAAATTTTTGGCCATGACAAATCCACTCAGCGTCTAATCTCTACAATCTACAAGATACGGTAAAACCTTAATAACAAAAAGACAAATAACCCAATTAAAAAATGGGCAAAAGATATGAACAGGCACTTCACCAAAGAAGATATTCAGGTGGCTAAAAGACACATGAAGAAATGCTCATGATCATTAGCCATTAGAGAAATGCAGATCAAAACTACAATGAGATACTATCTCACCCCAACAAGGCTAGCATTAATGCAAAAAACACAAAATAATGAATCCTAGAGAGGTTGTGGAGAGACTGGAACACTTATACACTGTTGGTTGGAATGTAAAATGGTACAACCACTTTGGAAATTGATTTAGCACTTCCTTAAAAGCTAGAAATAGAAGTACCATATGATCCACCTATCCCGCTCCTTGAAATATATCCTAGAGAAATAACAGCCATCACACGAATAGATATGTGCACACCCATGTTCATTGCAGCACTGTTCGCAATAGCAAAAAGATGGAAACAACCTAGGTACCCATCAACGGACGAATGGATAAACAAATTATGGTATATCCACACAGTGGAATACTACAGAATGATAAAGAACAACGATGAAGCCGTGAAACATAACATGGAGGTAAGCTGGAGGTCATTATGCTGAGTGAATTTAGTCAGTCACAGAAGGACAAGTATTGTATAAGACCACTATTATAAGAAATTAAAAAAGATTTAAACCTAGAAGAAAATATTCTTTGACAGTTTTAAGGGTGAGGAGGGAGGGTGAGGGTTATTTACTAACTAGATAGCAGGTAAGAATTATCTTAGGTGAAGGGAAGGACAGCATACACTACCAGGGAAGTCAGCTCAACTGGACTAAACCAAAGCCAAGAAGTTTCCTGAATACAGTCAAACACTTTGAGGGACAGAGTAGCAGGGGTAGGGGTCTGAGGACCATGCTTTCAGGGGACACCTAGGTCAATTGGCATAACAAAGCTTATTAAGAAAATGTTATGCATCCTACTTTGGTGAGTGGCGTCTGGGGTCTTGAAAGCTCGCAAGCGGCCATCTAAGATGTATCAATTGGTCCCAGCCACCTGGAGTAAAGAAGAATGAAGAACACCAAAGACACAAGGAAAGTAGCAGCCCAAGAGGCAGAAAGGACCACATAAACCAGAGACTTCATCAGCCTGAGACCAGAAGAACTAGATGGTGCCCGGCTACCACCAGTGACCGCCGTGACAGGGAACACAGCAGAGAGTCCCAAATGGAACAGAAGAAAGGTGGGGTGCAGAACTCAAATTCTAGTAAGAAGACCAGACTTAATGGTCTGACTGAGACTGGAGGAACCCCAGAAAGCATGGCCCCTGGATTCTCTGTCATCCCAGAACTAAAACAGTTTCCAAGGTGAACTCTTCAGACAGGGATTGGACTGGACTGTGGGACATAAGGTGATATTTGTGAGGAGTGTGCCTCTTAGCTCAAATAGATACAAGAAACTAAACGGACAGCTTCTGTCTGGAGGTGAGATGGGAAGGCAGAGGGTTGGGAGCTGGTTGAATGGATATGGGGAATCGGGTGGAAAGGAGGAGTGTGCTGTCACAGTATGGGGATAGCAATTAGAGTCACATAACAATATATATATAAATTTTTGTATGGGAAAAAAGAAAGAAAGATGAGGGCTTGGCCCCAGCTTGCCCCACACGGAGGGGGACTGCCAGCTTTCCCCTTAGCTAGCCCTGCTTGGGGTGGGGAAGCTGCCACATTCAGGAAGGAACCCAGAACCTGACTTTGGGGTTTCAGAGCCACAGTCCAGCTGTTTTGTGTGGATGTATGTGTGGTAAATATATATGTAACAAAACATTTGCCGTTTCTACTCTTTACATGTACAGTTCAGTGATGCTAATTATGTTATCATGTTGTTCAACCATCACCCTTATCCATTCCGAATTTTTTTCATACAGTCCAGCTGTTTTGACTCATATTTTTATTCTTTACACAAGTGACCCATGTCCATTAGAAAATACACAGAATAAAAGTCAAAAAAATTTTTTTTAGTCATTCATAATCTGGAAACTAAAGAGTCATGGCAACTAACTGCAATGTATAATTCTTGGCTGGATAAGGAAAAATAAAAAAAAACTACAAAGCTGAATATTTTAGATAATAATATTGTATCAAAAGGATCCCTGGTGGTGCAATGGTTAAGCACTCAGTTGCCAACCAAAAGGTTGGCGGTTCAAACCCACCTATCCACTGTAGGGGGGAAAGACTTGGCAGTCTGCTTCTGTAAAAATCACAGCATAGGAAACCCTATGGGGCAGTTCTGCTGTGTCACATGGGGTTGCTATGAGTCAAAATTGACTCACTGACACCTAACAACAACAAAAACACAGTATTGTATCACTATTAAATTTTCTGAGTGTGATCACTGAATTGTGGTGATATAGGAGAATATCCTTGTTCTTAGGGGATGCATACTGAGTACAGTATTGAGGAACAAAGTGGTATAATTTTTGTAACTGACTCAAGTGGCTCAGAGAATATATATATATGTATACATATGCTATGTATATGTATGTATATATACATATATGTACATATACGTGTGCACGCACACGCACACACACACACATACACAGAGAAAGCTGATGTGGCAAATGGTAATAATTGGTGAATTAGGCAAAGTGTGCAGGGTATTCAGTGTACTCTTCTTGCAGCCTTTCTGTAGGTTTGAAATTTTTCAAAATAAAAGCTGGGGAAATAAAGAGATCTTGGCTGCTAACCAAAAGGTCAGCAGTTCGAATCCACCAGCCACTCCTTGGAAACCCTATGGGGCAGTTCTACCCTGTCCTGTAGGGTTGCTATGAGTCAGAATCGACTTTACAGCAGTGGGCTTTTTGTTTTGTTTCTTATACTCCCTACAAGGAGCCCTGGTGGCATAGTATTTAAGTGCTCAGCTGCTAACTGAAAGGTTGATGGTTTGAACCCACCAGCCACTATGCGGGAGAAGGATGTGGCAGTCTGCTACTGTAAAGATTACAGCCTTGGAAACCCTATGGGGCAGTTCTGCTCTGTCTTCAGAGTCACTGTGAGTCACAATCGACTCAGTAGCAGCAGATTTGGTATAGTTCTCCCACCCAGAGATAACACTACCAAAATTTTGGTGTCTAGGTTTCCTGCCCTTTGAATGCAGAGATATAAACAGCTTTTTATATAAATATATTTATAATATGCATATCTATATAAATGGGTCATGTTATACGTACTGTTGTGAAACTTGCTTTTCTTACTTTACTTTTCTTTTAATGTCATTCTCTGTCTATGGCTATAACTGTATACTAGCATTTCCTAAAATGCCTCTGGGAACAGTGGCTCCTTGGGATTTTCCAGTAGGAAAAGGCCCCCTGATCAAACCAGCCCACAGTGGAGGTGTTCTCCTGCCCTCACTCTGTCCTGGGGTGTTTCCTGCAGTAAAGAAATACTTTTGATTTTGTCAACCCAGATTTTTTCCCAAACATATTTGGCTGTGGAACCTCTTCCGCAAGGAACAGCAGCAGTTAATAGGAGCAGTCTATGAAATACTGATCAGCATCATCATTTTAACGTCTGCAAAGAATTCCATTGTATGGATGGACCATCTTTAATTTAGCCAGGCTTCTATGGAGGGACACATTGATCATTTCCTTTTTTTGCTATTATAAAAACCACTGGAGTGGCCATCCATGTACAGTTATTTTTGCTGACCTGTTTGATTATTTTTGTAAAATAAATTTTTAGAAGCCAGTGGCTATGTTTCAGGGGTCCTCAGTCACCCACATATTCAGAGACTTTTTAGAAGGACTGACAGGCCTTGGAGGCAGTTGTACTGCTGGTTGTGGTATTACAGGGAAAGGGTACACAGTAGGATCAGCAAGGGGGAAAGACTCATTAGGTGGGGTCTGGAGGAATCCAGGCGCAAGTTTTCATAGTTCTCTCTCCTGGGGGAGAGGAGAGAGGCTGCACAAGACCCGCTTATGTGCACAATGTTTTTGCCCAGGGAAGCCTACTTAAGACTCAAAGTCCAGGGTTTTTATTAAGGATTGGTCATGTAAGTGAGCGGCCACAATGGCTGAAATTCCACACTGTCAGAAAGGGAAGGAGGTGTTCACCATAAATCACACTGTGTGTACAAACAGTCTAAGCAAGCTGGTATAGTACAGTTCACTGCCACACGTGGGCAAAACAACTTTATCAACGTAGAGGACGTTCTAAAAGCCAAGTTCTCAGATGCCAGTTAAGGGCCAGTCCTGCAAGCAGTCCCTTCTAAAGATAGCAGCATCAGGCCTGCTTTATTAACTCTTTCCTGCACAGGCTGAGTCATTTCTGTGACTTCATAGAGAAAAGGGATAGCAGCAACATCCTATGAGTAGCTCTTCTTCCACATGGCTGACTAAAGCAAATGTCCTTCCTCCCTGATAAATAAGGCAGTTGGTATCAAGAGTCTACGGTGCTTTCATTTTCTCTTCATTTTGATTTCAGAGCAGCCTGAACATGCATTCTGCACCCAGCTACCTCACCCAGCCTCCACCACCTCCTCCACCCCCTCCACCACTACCGCCTCCCCCACCTCCCCAGCCCCCACCACCCCCACCCCAGAGCCTGGGCCCCCCTGGGCGTCCCAACCCTGGTGGGAATGGCGTGGTAGAGGTGTACAGTGCCACTGCCCCCCTGGCCGGAAGTGGAACGGTGGAGATCCAGGCATTGGGGATGCAGCCCTACCCACCCCTGGAGGTGAGCAGAGGCCAGGGGTGGGGAGGGGCGAGAACTGGTCATGGTCATCATGGGTAACCTTGACCTTTCCTGAACACCTACTGTGTGTTGGGGGTATTGTGGGCAGCAAAACCAGACCCAGTCCTCACAGTAACCCTATGAGAGGGGTATTTGACTAGCCCCATTTTACAGATGAGGAGACTGAGACAGATGTTAAAAGATCTGCCCACAGTTATTTAGTTGGTAAGTGGCAGAGTCAGAATTTGAACCCAGGCAGCCAGACTCCAAAGCTGCATCTTGCCTGTTGGCTTTATGAAGTTCTAAGGGGTCTTGGGAGTGATCGTGTGTTCGAGCCAGGTAGAGGGGTTAGGGTGGTGGATGTAGGTGGAAAGTGGCTGAGATCAGCCTGGGCTGCAGTGAGGGTTCCTCTGTCTGGGACAGCTCTTTCCTCCTTTCCCAGGACTCTTTCCCTGACTGTACTGTCCTAGGTGCCAAACCAGTGTGTGGAGGCTCCGGTGTATGCCACTCCCCCAGTGTACAGCCCGGGCAAACAGGGATTCAAACCGAAAGGACCAAACCCCGCTGCCCCCATGACCAGCGCCACCGGTGGCACGGTGGCCTCCTTTGACCCTCCACCAACACTGAAGACCCGACGGGCCAAAGGTGACAGTGGACTCCCAGAAGGTGGGTCCCCAGCCCACCATGGGCATCCTTCCTCAGCATCTCCCTGTCCATGGGGTGCTTAGTTCTGGTCTTTCCTTTTATGGTGGTTAGGATTAAGATTGGCTGCGTATAATGGAAAATCCAAAATAACAGTGACTGCAAAAATAGAGTGCTGTTTTCTCCTGTATAAAACAAGGCCAGAGGCAGGCAATCTGGGTGTGACTGTGTGGTCACCACGCACCCATGTTTCTTCCATCTTTCTGAACCTCCATCCCTAGTGCATGAGTTCTCTCATCAGGGTGCCTCATTGTCTAAGATGGCTGCTGGAGCGCCAGTCATCAATTCCATATTCTAGGCAGTAAGAAGGAGGAAATGCAGGACAAAAGGAGGTACCTCCCAGCAACATTAGTTCTTTGCAGAAGTTCTAAGTGATACTTTTGCTTTCATGTTGTTGGTCGGAACTTAGTCACTTGGCCATACCTAGCTGCAAAGGAAGCTGGGGAATCTCTTTTAGCCAGGCACACTGATGTTCCTATTAAGTAGGGAATTTGTGAGGAAGGAAGATGGGGAGAGCAGATATTGGGAAGGCAAGCAGCAGTGTCTGCCACCCCTTCGGAGATGCTAAATATGGAGGTGGAGGGGAGAGGAACAGAATTTTTCAGGGGCTTTCCAGTCAACTGATTTCCTCCTTTTCTTCCTTCCACAAATATTTGTTGAGCATCTCTGTGCCGGGCTTGGTGTCAGATATTGGGATCCACCATCTTGGTTCATGATTCCTCTGCCCTCACGTTACTCAAAGTATAATGAGAGAGACAGGCATGGAATAAATAAATGTTTATGAGTTGTGGAATTGTGCTGGGAAGGAGATTAACAGGGTACAGTGATAGAGAATAACTCGGGAAGGGCTGGGAAGTGATGTTACTTAGATAGAAAAGACATCTCTGAGGATGAGAAGAAAGCAGCCTTATGGATATTTGAGGGACAAGCATTCAGGCAAGGGGAACAGCAGGTGCAAAGATCCTGAGGTACAACTATGCTTAGGGTGTTCTAAGGATTAGCAAGGAGTCCACTGTAGCTGGATGGAGAGAATTGATGAGGTTGGCAGGAAGCAGAGGATGCTGAGGCTTGCAGACCATAGCAGGCTGGATATTATCCCGGGGTAGAGGGGAGCCTTTGAGGGGTTACCAGCCAGAGCAAGTCCCGGGTTTTCCTCCCCTGGCACTGCGAGAGGCAACCTGGCTTCTTCCCTTGCCTGTCCGGGGGTGCAGACCTCCCAGGGTGTGGGCTGTCTGGCTCCAGGTCCAGGAGGTAGAGTGCCTGGAGGCTGCCCTTGGCTCCGCAGCTGTGTCCCCAGCCTCTATTTCTCTCTTACCACGTTCTCTTTCAGCTGCAGGGAAGCCAAAGGCTCAGAAACTCAAGTGCTCATACTGTGACAAGTCATTCACCAAAAACTTCGACCTACAGCAGCATATCCGAAGGTACCTGGTGGGGCAGGTGGCCCCTGGGAGGCCCTGGCTAGGGGGCCCTGTGGAGTGGAAGCAAGGCTGCCTTCCCACCTCCCAGACCAGGTGGTGGCCAGGCCCCCAGCTTTCCTGTCATGGTTTTCAGGCCTGTGGTCCAGGCCAGGATGGTTTCCCCTCTTCTCTCTCAGGAGCAGTGGGAAGGCTCTATGAAAGTTATGGGGCCTGCCCGCCGCGATGGGGCAGGTCAGAGCAGTGGGAGACATGCTTTGCAGGGATGTGAGGGGTGCCTTATTCGTCACCTCTGCAGAAAGGGCTGCCCTTCAAGATCTCTGCTCAGCTCAGGGCTACCCATGACACCTCTTGTCCCAAGAACATGCAAGGAGCAGTTTTTCCATCTGTAAATTGGGGTGGGGGAGTGCACTTGCTCAGTGTTTTGCACAGAGTACATACGTTGGGATGTGAGATGATTTTAGGTGGTTCATGGAGATGACCTTGAAAAGTTCTGAAAGATATAGTGAGAAAATGATTCCCTTTCAATTTCTTTCCATCCTTGGAGAATCAACGGAGAAAGCCTCAGTATGGAGCTATTCTGTCTTTAACATCTCTCACTTGATAATCTCCTTTTGAAATAAAGAAAGAGAGATAGAAAGTGAGCCTCAGGTTCCAACCATGGCAGGCAACAGTTCTCTCTAGACAAAGGATTTTCAACCTTGGCATTACTGACATTTTAGATTAAATAGTTCTTTAATGGGGCGGCTTTAGGATGTTTAGCACATCCTTGGCCTCTATCCACTAGATGCCAATAGCACCTCCCCTCCTCCCCCGACCTTGCCTGTGACAACCAAAAATGTCTCCAGACATTTCCAAATGTTCCCAAGGGCCAAAACCAACACCAGTTAGAACCACTGGCCTAGTCTAATGCCATGCAATAGAATTTTCTGCAATGATGGAATACTTAAGCCTGTGCTGTCCAGTATGGTATCCAGTAAGCATATGTGGCTGTTGAGCACTGGAAATGTGGTAGTGCGACTAAGGAGCTGAATTTTTCATTTTATTTAACTTAAAAAATTTAAATAGTCCCACGCGACTTGTGTCTACCGTATTAGACAGTGAAGCAATAGATCTTATTAACGTTGCTTTTTCATTATTGCATTTATTTTTTTAGTTACTTTGTATTTATGACAAGTGATTTTTCATATGCAATAATAGTAGAAAACTTCCTTTTAAAGTTATTTGAAGTTTTCAAAACCTTTTTAAAAAAGTGAGTTGATTTGAAGAAAAATATTAAATAATGATACAAGCGTGTTGTATCAACTAAGATGTTTTCTCGTGCAAATAACAGAAATCCCCGTTTAAATGGGTTTAAACAATCAGGAGATGTATTATCTCATAGTGGGAGATGACCACAGGTGGGGTTCATTCAACAGCTCAGCAATGCCATCAAGAGCCCAGGGTCTTTCCATCTCTTTGGTCTGTATTCCTCAGCATGAGGGCTCGTGCTCATAGTGTCAGGGTGGTTGCCAGCAGCATCTGGATGCTCTGTCTTGGCCTTTCTGGTAGCTGTGAGCACCTGGACTGAGGCCATGTCTCTGTCCCTGCATGAGGGTGCTGACAACCATTGTCTCCCACAGCCACACCGGTGAGAAGCCCTTCCAGTGCATTGCGTGTGGCCGTGCCTTTGCCCAGAAGTCTAATGTCAAGAAACACATGCAGACTCACAAGGTGTGGCCCCCAGGGCGCAGCGGTGGCACTGTCTCTCGGAACTCTGTGACTGTGCAGGTCATGGCCCTGAACCCCAGCAGGCAGGAAGACGAGGAAAGCACAGGTGGGTGGAGGTAGGGAATGCCACCCTCCCCACACCTCTCCTCTGCAGCCTCACAGGTTTTGTTGCTCGCTCTTTGCCCTTGGGCATCCTCCTTGTCCTCTCTGGGCTTCATTCTACTTACATATAAAATGAGGCAAGACAAATATACTACATATGTGGTATTACTCTAATCTTGTACCGTGAGAGACATCATTAATCAACCACCTATCTTTACTACTGAGCCTGGATCCCACCTCAGAATTTATTTTTAATATATTGCTGAAGGCAGTCACTATCAGTAGATCAGGAGTTGAAACCTCTTTGACCTTTGTGGACAGATGGTCTCCAAGGCCGTTCATACTTTATGGGATTCTCTTCTGAGCCATCACTTGTCCTTGAGCGAATGGTCCTGTCTCTGATGTTGGTTTAGCCCTGTCTTAGTGGGAGGAGGAACTTACTAGGTCTAGAGAAGCACTGTCCAAGAAATATAATATGAGTAATGCATGTAATTTAAAATGTTTTAGCAGCTACATTAAAAACAGTAAAACAAAAAAAGGTGAAATTAATTTTAATAATATATTTAACCCAGCATATTTAAAACATGGTCATTTAAGTATGTAATATAAAGAAGTTTATTTTTTTATAATTTATTTTTTTTTTTTTTGTTGGGACCGTACACAGGAGAACGTATGTCAATTAAACAATTTGTACACGTACAATTCAGTGACATTGATTACGTTCTTTGAGTTGAGCAACTATTCTCACCCTCTTTTTCTAAGTTTTTCCTTCCCCATTAACATAAACTTACTGCCCCCTAAGTTTCCTATCTAATCTTTTGAGTTGCTGTTGTCAGTTTGATCCAATATAGACAGCTCTTGAAATAGCACGGTGCTCAAGGCAGACGTTCTTTAGCGGTTAAGCTAAAGTATTATTTGGTTTTAAGAAGATTTCAGGGGATATTTTTGGTTTAAAGTTTAAAGATTATCTCATGGCAGTAGTTTTGGGGGTTCATCCAGCCTCAGTTGCTTCAGAAAGTCTGGATTCCATGAGAATTTGAAATTCTGTTCTGCATATTCCCCCTTTTGATCAGGATTCTTCTATGGAATTAAAGAAATTGTTAACGAGATATTTTACGTCCTTTTTTCATGCTAAGTTTTTAAAATGCAGTGTATATTTTACATGTATAGCACATCTGAAGTTGGATTAGCCACATTTCAAGTTCTCATTAGGTACATGTGGCTCATGGACATATTGGACAGTTCAAGGCCAGAGCCTGAGCCCTTCCTGTACAGCCCAAGGATGAGAAACACCAGCCGTATGCTGCCTATGGAGGGAAGTTTTGCTGGTCGGTCAACGTGTGGCTGCATTTATATGACCCCTTCCATCAGCGCTTCCTGTTGAAACTAGCTCTACTGTCTGTTCAGCTATTCCGTGTGTGCCGTCTGAGTTCTTGTGAGCTCTTTGGGGAAGAAACCGTTTCTTTCAAAATTCTACAGTGCCCAGTACCAAGAGTTCAACCATTTAGCAGAAATCTCTGAAGACTTCCTATGTGCCAGGCCACTGGGCTTACAAAGATTAAATCAGAGGCTTCTGGCCTCAAGGAGAGTGAAGAATAATCTACTGAGGGAGGGACAACTTAAAAATGATTATAATTAGAAGAGGGAGCTAGGGAGGCATTATAAGTACAGCTAGGAAGGGCATTAGGACTTTTAGGACCATGGAGAAGTCTGCAAGATCCGAGGGGAAGGGCAGGGAGGGGGAACTTGAGGCAACAGCTATTTATCCACCAGTATGCAATTATGTCAATATTTTATTGTCTAGAATAGCTTTATCAGTACATACCAACTAAACGTGCCTTGAGTACAGTGTCTAGCAGCCCACACAGAGTAAGTGGCAGGATGAACACAGTAGAGCATGCAGTAGGTGCCCTGTGGATCTTTCCTCAATGCTATGGCTTTCTGTCCTGACTCTCTCTGCCCTTCTCAGTGACTTTCCTCCCTGGCTTTTTCCACAGGGTTGGGCCAGACCCTGTCAAGCACCCCTCAGGCCCAGACCTTGCCTACAGCAGGTGAGGATGAGGGGAACAAGCTGGAGACGAAGCAGGTGGTCCTCATTGATAGCTCCTATCTGTGCCAGTTCTGCCCCAGCAAGTTCAGCACCTACTTCCAGCTCAAGTCTCACATGACCCAGCATAAAAATGAGCAGGTAGGTGGTTGGCATTTAGCCACAGCCACCCTGTCATGAGTCTGGCTGGTGCTGGGGCCTTGAACGCTGCCTAGAAAGGGATGGGAGTGGGCCTCAATTGCCCTGAGATATGATCTTACCACCCATGATGGGTCAAGCTTCCTCTACCTGGATAGGGCCAGCTTGCTGAGCCACTGCGGTGCTAGCCCTGGGGAGAAAGTTCTTCTCTTGAGGGTCATGTGACGAAGGGAGTCAGGCACAGGAAAAATTCGTAATGCCCTGAGAAGGGCCAATGTCTAAAAACCTACCTCAGAGGATTTAGGACTCTAGTATTTTTTTTTTTTTAATTGAGGTGTAATTCTCCTAACAAGAATTCACCCTTTTGAAGTATACACTTAAGTAGTTTTTAGTATATTCATAAGGTTGTGCAACTGTCACCACTATCTAATTCCATAAAACTTTTATTACCCCAAAAAAGAAACCCTGTACCCATTAGCAATCGCTCCCCATTCCTCCCTGTCCCCAGTCCCTGACCACCACTAATCTACTTTCTGTCTCTGAGGATTGGCGTATTCTGGACATTTCATATAAATGGAGTCATACAATATGTGACCTTTTGTGTCTGGCTTCTTTCACTTAGCATAATGTTTTCAGTGTTCATCCATGTCGTAGCATGTATCAAAACTTCTTCCCTTTTTTTTTTTTAAACTTTATTCCTTTTCATGGCAAAATACTATTTCATTGTATGAATATACCACATTTTATTTATCCATTCACCAGTTAATGGACATTTGGGTTGTTCTACTTTTTGGCTGTTACAAATAATGTTCCTGCAAACATTCACGTACAAATTTTTGTGTGAACATACATTTCCATTTTCTTGGGTATATACCTAGGAGTGGAGTTGCTGGGTCATATGGTAACTATTCCAGCCTTTATTTTTTAAAATAAATTTTATTGTTTGTTTTTTTTTCTCCTTATAAAAGTACCAAGTTACCCAATGTAGAATTGGAAAATTCAGTAAACTAAAGAATGTATTTACTATGTGCTGGGTGCGCTGCTAAATGCTTTATATTCAATATTTGATTTAATTCTCAAAACAGCCTTAGAGATAGGCATTCTCAGTACATCTATCTTACAGATGAGGAAACGGAGGCTCAGAGAGGTGAAGCGACCCATCCAAAGTCTCACTGCCAGTAAGTGACCAAGTCAGGATTAAAAGCCAAGTCCGTTTGACTCCAAACCCCATGTCATTAATCACCTTGCAATATATCCTCCTGAGAAAACAGTCACCACCTTTAATCTTACAATCCAGAAACAACCCTGGTCATGCAGCACAAAATCCATTATATATTTTTTGAGCTTCCGTATTTATGTTTTTAATTATAATTGGGATCATGCATACACATATAATTTTGAATTGTGCTCCTTTTCTTGAAATATCCTTTAACACTTTATTTTAAAATAATTATAAATCTACAGAAAGCTGCAAAGATAGTACAGAGAGATCCCCTGTACTATATGAGAAACTAGTATCTATATATAAATTTATTAGTGAAAGAAAAGAATACTGAAATAAGATTGCCGAGTTAGATACACATCTGGTTCATGTCCTACAGGACAACAAAAACCATGACCTTTGGGGTTGATCTACCTGACAAAATCACTTGCGTCGGATCAGTTTTCTACAAGTCAGCATTTAACGTTACAGTCTGGATCCTAATCAGTAGAAAATATTGAGTGAAAGCAAGCTGCATGCCCCAGAGATGGGCCTTAGGCAGGCTTGTTAGGCAGTGCTCTGAACAGCAGTTGTCAAAGTCAGGTCCCTGGACCAGCAGCATTAGCACCACTGGGGCACTTATTAGGATTGCACCTTCTCAGGCCACCCAGACCTGCTGAATCAGAAACTTTGGGAGTGACGCCTACCAGTCCGTGATTCTGATGCTTGCTCAAGTTGGAGAGGCACTACTCTAGCATGACATTGACAGGACATCGGTCATCTTTTCACCGTATTTCCAAGTTTTGGATAATTTTTCTAAACATGTTCATGCCAAGCGGAACATGAGGCAAGGGTCATGGGGCCATAGTGAGAGGCTTAGAGGTGGGGACCCTCTAATAAAAGTAAAACCAGGGCTCCAGCAGCAGGGGAGCAGGGGCATGGCGGTCCACCAGCAGTGTCCAAGGCACGTGCTCCAGGGCAGGGGGCAGCAGTGGAGGCAGCTCTCCTCGGCCCCTACCTCCCCTCACTTGCCCTGCATCTTCCTTCAAGGTATACAAATGTGTGGTCAAGAGCTGTGCCCAGACGTTCCCAAAGCTCGACACATTTCTGGAGCACATCAAGAGTCACCAGGAGGAGCTGAGCTACCGCTGCCACCTCTGTGGCAAGGACTTCCCCTCGCTGTACGACCTGGGCGTTCACCAGTACTCCCACAGCCTCCTGCCGCAGCACAGCCCCAAGAAGGATAGCGCTATCTACAAGTATGTGTTCGCCCCACTTCCCTCTCCCCAGGTGGGTGGGTGGGCAAGGAGCCCAGCTTCTATGGCCTTGGTGGTTCTGATACCTCAGAACCAGTGAGACACCTCAGAGGGGAAACTGAGGGTCCAGGCTGGGGTCCAGGGTGGCAGCGAGTGTTCTGGGCCTTGCTGGCCCTTCTCACATCTCTCTTCAACTTGGCAGGCATTTATTGAGGAAGGGAGACCCTTTTTATCTTAAAAAAGGGAAATAAGTATTTCCTCATTCATAGTAGAAAGAAGGTTTGTGTCTTTTCCTGAACTAAAAAAACTATGAAAATATTATTTTGTCTAATAACCTACAAAATTTAGATTACAATTGAAACTATACACTGATGCTTAGGCTGTAAAAAGAATGAATAAGCACAGTTATAAGAGCAACAATCATAAAAATAAGATTAGTTTGTTTTATAATCTATAAAATTTAGATCAAAATTAAAGCTGTATGCTGATTCATAGACTGAACAAGGAATGGACCAAGTGTAGATTTTATTTGGGATCATTTTTTCAGACAAAATGATACGATAGCTTGATGTACCATCGTTTACATCATTCTAGCCTCTTCCGTCGCAGTCATAAAGAGGGTCCCCTTTGGCAGAGATGATGAAGGAATAACTCCTTCAGTTTTGCCACATGCTCTTTTATATATATATGTATGTGTGTATATATATACTTATACATATATATAGTTTGTTTTACTTATTTTTGTTGTTGAGAATATACACAGCAAAATATACACCCATTCAACAGTTTCTACATGTACGATTCAGTGATACTGATATCATTCTCTGCGTTGTGCAACCATTCTCACCTTCCTTTTCTGAGTTCTTCCTCCCTCATTAACATAAACTCACTGCCTCCTAAGGTTCCTATCTAATCTTTCAACTTGTCAATTTGATCCCAGATAGATTGCTCTTAAAAAAGGATAATGCTCAAGGCAAGCATTCTTTGCTAGTTAAGCTAAACTATTGTTTGGTTTTAAGAAGACTTCAGGAAATATTTTTGGTTTAAGGTTTAAAGATTATCTCAGGGCAGTAGTTTCAGGGGTTCATCCAGCCTCCATGGCTCCAGAAAGTCTGGATTTCATTGCCACATGCTCTTTTTTTTTTTTTTTAATTTATTTTATTTTTGTTGTTATTGAGACTATACACAGCAAAAACATACACCAATTCAGGTTTCTACATGTACATTTCAGCGACAGTCTCATTCTTCGAGTTGTACAACCATTCTAACCCTCCTTTTCTGAGTTGTTCCTCCCCCATTAACGTATACTCACTGCCCCCTAAGGTTCCTATCTAATCTTTCAAGTTGCTGTTATCAATTTGATCCCATACAGATCTTAAGGCAGACATTCTTTACTAGTTACGCTAAAATTGCCACATGCTCTTAATCCTTAGATCTTTAAACCATTCTCTGGTGCTATTGATCTTGTCATCCTCCTTGCTGAGTTTCTCTTACTTGATTTTTTTTGGGAGTGGTCCCTATGCCACACCCTCCTTTGCTGACGGTGCTGTTTACAGATATCCAATGGCACTTTCAAGGCTTCATGAAATCCTGGATTTTTACTCCGCAATTGTTTTACAATGCATTTGCCCGATGTAGTCTGGAAGCAACTGCTCCACAAAGCCCAGGACATAGCATGGGGATAGCTGTTAGAGAAAAGTCAGGGGGAGTTTGTCTGGGTACTCATTTCAGTTCATTAGTGAATATTTTCATGTTAAAATGGCTTTTGCTTCCCTATAGGGACTTGGCTAATGACCTCTACTAATGGGGCCCATGGTAACTCCTGGGTAAGGTTTCTGGAGTTCAGAAATAAGTAAAATATGAGCTTATAATGTATAGACTACTCAGATAGATAGGCTTGTCAACAAATGCTTACCATGTACTGTGATAAAATGCTATCATATGGATGTATCTATGAAGTATAAAAGTAGTATGGTAGTGTGCAGAGTAGGGAAGCTGTCCCAGGAACAGTAATACATGAACTGGTTTTGAAGGATGAGTAGGAGTTTTGTAGGTAGACAAGGGCTGCGATGGAGTGCATCCCTAGAAGGGGAACAGCAGATGCAGAGACATAATAGTAAGTTGTATAGGATGGAAGTGGGAGGAACCTGGAAGAGAAAGTGAGACCAGGGCATGAAGGGCCTTGTAGCAATCACACAAGTTTTGAGAAGTTGACAAGGGGACTGGGACGCAAGAAATGGAGTGTAGGGCAGTTGCCCTCGGGGAGACTGGAAAATGGGACCAGAGAGGCAGGGAAGTGAAGTGAAGGTATCTGGGCATTTGTACTCAGGGAATTAGTTTTGCTGTTACCCTTTCAACCTATGGATTATCTGTTAGTTTCTATGGCTGTGTAGCCCTCTCAAATGAGATGCCAAGTGAAGGGAAGGGAGCACCTACTCTGTGCCAAGCTCTTACTTACGGACATTGATCCCTGCAATCCTGGGAGGTAGGAGGTATTTTCCCCATTTTGAAGAGAGAAGTGACCTGCCCACCAGACGTTAGCACAGAGCGGGGATTCAAGCCCAAATCTGTAACCTTGGAAGCCTCACGACACTAGTCTTGGAGTCTGTAGGCTGAGGATTGAGCCCAGTGCTAACACGGCTCTGTGCCTACAGTTGATCACTTCTCCCAGGTCCCATTGCTGGGGTCAGAGCTCCAGGAGGCCGTTTGTAGCTGTCTGATGATCAGGCCCAAAGAGCAGACTACCATCTGGATGGCCTGAGGTTGGAATGGTGTCATGGTTAATGATGGCTTTGAAACCAGTTTGCTTATGCTCTAATCCTGGCTTGTTTTACAAACCTGATGGGTGACTTTGGGCAAGATATTGATTCACTCTGGGCGTCAGTTTCTTCGTCTTTGAAATGAGAATAACGATTGTACCTACCTTATTAGATTATTTGTAAGGATCATGTAAGACGAGTATGAGGCTCCTAGACATGGTGCCTGGAACATAGTAGATGCTCAATAAATGTTATTGCAGTGATTATGATTATTTCTATTATTTAGATATAGGTTTGGCTGCATGCAGTAGAGACTGAAAATAAAAGTAGCTTAAACAAAGTGAAAGTTTATTTCTTTCACAGGGAAACATTTGAGTAGGTGTGATGGCTTCATTGCATTTTCAGAGGCTCAGGCCCTGTCTGTTTGCTCTACCGCCACACGCCACCCCACCCACCCCTTCCAGCTGCAATGCCTTGCCTGCTGTCTCTTTGAGGTACCTCCCAAACCCCTCAAATGAATTTCATGCCTGCCAGTATATATGTACAACATATTTAATTTTTCCTTTGAAAAATATTTATTTTTTTCCTAATTACAAAAGTAATCCATGTACAATACAGAAAAGAGGATAAAAAGTGAAATAAACCACAAAAACAAAACCCTACCATCCAAAAATAATCCCTGTTACCTTTTGGTATATGTCCTTTGATATATATCTGTATAAAATATGTATAACCCGTTGCCATCGAGTCGAGTCTGACTCATAGCAACCCTATAGGACAGAGTAGAACTGCCCCATAGGGTTTCCAAGGAGCGGCTGGTGGATTCGAACTGCCGACCTTTTGGTTAGCAGCCGAGCTCTTAACCACTGCACCGCTAGGGCTCCAAAATATGTATAGACCTATGCATATAGATATAAATAAATATTACAGGCTATATTTTGAGTCAAGTCATCCCAAACACTGTCACTGGGTTTGGTGAAAATTCATCACGCTGTCTTCCTGTTGCACAACTTCCAACAAATAGACTGAAACTTAATGGGATCATTCCATACATTTGTTGTTGTTGCTTAAAACTTTTGCACTTAAAACTATAATATGGACATCTTTGCATTTTAGCAAAAACCAACCTGCCTCATTTTCCTAAACGGCCGCTTAGTGTTCCATTGCATGTGGATGTACCTTAATTTATTTAACCTATCTCTTATTGCCGGATAGTTGGGTCATTTCCAGTTTGTTATTATTATAAATGATGCTACAAGGAACAATTTTGGACGTGTAGCTTGCTCATTTGTACATAAGTTCCTAGAAGTAATTTTGCAGGGTCAAAAATCAAAGAGGGTTTAAAAAAAGATTAATTACTTACCTCAAAAAATGATATATGTACACAGTACAACTATAAAGGGCCTAGAGTAAGAAGGAATACCCTGTCCACCCTGACCCACTTCCTCATCCCATAGGCAATCACTTTCAGGAAGTGTTCTTTTTAAAACTTTTTATTTTGAAATAATTTCAAACTTACAGAAAAGTTACAAGAATAGTACAAAGGACTCCCACATGTACCCCTTACCCAGGTTTTCCAAATGTTAACTTTTTACCATATTTGCTTTACCATATTTGGAACTATTTGAGAGTAAGGTACAGACATGATGTCCCTTTACCTATACCTTTAGTGTGTTGTTGCTGGGTGCCATTGAGTTGGTTCCAACTCATAACAACCCTGTCTACAACAGAATGAAACACTGCCCGGTCCTGCACCAGCCTCACAAATGTTGTTATGCTTGAGCCCATTGTTGCAGCCTGTGTGTCAGTCCGTCTCGGTGAGGGTTTCCCTCTTTGTTGCTGACCCTCTACTTTACCACCTTTAGTGTATGGTTCCTAAAAACAAGGATAATCTTACATAAGCACGGTATAGTTATCAAAATCAGGAAGTTAACATCAATACAATTCTGCTATCTAATCTATAGACCTTATTCAAATTTCTCCAGCTCTTCCAATAATATCCTTTATAGAAAAAGAAAAAAAAAATGCTCTTTTCTGGTCCAGAGTCCATTCCAGGATCACACGTCGCGTTCAGTTGTCACATCTCTGTAGTCTCCTTTAAGCTGGAACAGTTCCTCATTCTGTCTTTGTCTTTCATGACCTTAATATTTTTGAAGAGTACAGACTAGCTGTTTTGTAAATGCCTCAGTTTGGATTTGTCTGATTCGATTCAGGATGTGCTTTTTTAGCAGGAACAGCACTAAGCAATGCTGTGTCCTTCTCAGTGCACTGTATCAGGAAGCACAGGGTGTTGACTGGTCCCATTACTGGTGATGTTAACTGGGATGACTTAGTCAAGGGAGTGTTTCTGGCAGGGAGTTTTGATTTTAATGGTTATTGCTAAACTACTTCCCAAACAAATTTATGTCTCCTCTCTTCTGTAGCATGCGTGTGCTAGTACAGATAATAAGGGGTGCGATTCCTGTCCATTCCCACCCTAACCAACATAATACAGATTATATATTACTGACCTGGTAGCACACACCTTCTCATTAACTCTGCTCCTATCACCACCTCCCCTTTCTCTCTTGCCATTTAGAGGCGTTTAGTGTGTGGTTTCCAGACTGTGGTCTGAGGGGTTCCCCAGGGCCTGCTGCATGTGTAGCCTGCCTGTCGGTTTCCCACTGTGGCACTGGTGTGCGGGAGGCAGGGCCCACATTTCTGTTTTTGGCACGAATCACTCACCTACCTGTGGCATTTCTCATTGGCAGATGTTTTCGTGGTGGGGAAATGGCAGGGTCTTTTCTTTCTTCAGAGCGGGTTGTGGCCAAAAACTGCTGTTTTGAAGTCATGTTAGCCACAATGATGTTAAGAATAAAGACCATATTTATAGTGTTTTGCAGTTTATGAGCTGTTTGGCACACTTGTCTCCTTTGATTCTTGTGACAATCTTAAAAATGAATGAGAGGCGGTTCCATTTGGGTTTCTTAACCCCATTTTAGGGATGACGAAACTGAGGATCAGAGACGTGAAGGAGCCAGGCCTGAATCCCTGTCTGTCTGACTCTTTCACATAACAGATTCTTACTGGAGCTTGGAGCAAACTGTGAACAGGACAGATATATCCCTGCCTCCAGAGCTCACTTGCTAGTGTGGGAGACAGATAATAACCAAGTAAGCAAATCAATAAAATAAAATAATTTCACTTAATAAGTGCTAAGAAGAAAAGCAGTTAAGAAATCAAAAGACGTATAGCGTTGGGCAAATCTGCTGCAAAAGACCTCTTTAAAGTGTTAAAAAGCAAAAGTGTCACTTTGAGGACTAAGATGCACCTGACCCAAGCTGTGGTCTTTTCAGTTGCCTCATACGCATGCGAAAGCTGGACAATGAATAAGGAAGACTGAAGAGTTGATGCCTTTGAATTGTGGTGTTGGCAAAGAATATTGAATATACTGTGGACTGCCGAAGAGCAAACAAATCTATCTTGGAAGACGTAGAGCCAAAATGCTCCTAAGAAGTAAGGATGGTGAGACTCAGTCTCACGTGCTTTGGACATGTTATCAGGAGGGACTATCCCCTGGAGAAGGACATCATGCTTGGTAAAGTAGAGGGTCAGAGAAAAAGAGGAAGACCTTCAACGAGATGGATTGGCACAGTGGCTGCAACAGTGGGCTCAAACGTCGCAATGATTATGAGGATGGTGCAGGACCAGGCAGCATTGTATTCTGTTGTACTTAAGGTCGTACCTAACAACAAGAAGAAGAAGCAAATAAAACTGGGGAACATAACAGGGAATGGCTGGGTTTGGGGCGTGGGAAGCAACTTGAGACAGGGTGTTTGGGGGGGCCTCTTTGAGGGGGTGACATTTGAACTGAGATATGAAGGAGCCGCCTGGGGGAAGAGTGTTCCAGGTAACAGGAACAGCAAGTGCCAAGGCCCTGAGGTGAGAAGGAGCTTGACGTGTTTGAGGTATATCAAGAGGCCAGAGTGGCTGGAGCAGAGTAAGTGAGGTGGGAAGGGTGGAAGTTTTAAGCAAGGGCATGACATGATCTGATTTTTACTTTTAAGGTTTCTGTTTGGCTGCTCTCTGGAGAATGGACTATAAGGGGCAGGGTGGAAGCAGGAGACCAGTGGGGAGGCTACTGGATATGTCTGAGCGAGGCATGATGGCAGCAGTGGCAAGCAAGAAGAATGGATGGATTTGAGAATGAATTAAATATAGGTTTTTATCTTCTAATGTTGGTGCTAGGAGCCCTGGTGGCACAGTGGTTAAGAGTTCAACTGCTAACCAAAAAGATCAGCAGTTCAGGACCACCAGCAGCTCCTTAAAAACATTATGGGGCAGTTCTACTTTGTCCTTTAGGGTCACTATGAGTCGGAATCAACTCAACAGCAGTAGGTTTGGTTTTTATTTGGAATGTTGGTCCTGAGGGATGGGCTGGTTCCTGCACCTGCAAGCCCCGCCCCCACATACTCCTCTGTTACCTCTCCCGCTCCTTCCCATTCAGGTGTGTCAAATGCGTCAACAAATACTCCACCCCTGAGGCCCTCGAGCACCACCTGCAGACTGCTACTCACAACTTCCCTTGCCCGCACTGCCAAAAGGTAGGTACTGCTGCCTTGTTTTTTAGGGCCAGGGCAGTAATAGGGGGCGAGGAGGTCGTGAATGCCTCATCCTCTCCTTCTCCCCTTCTACCCTGGTATGTGTAGGAGGGCTTGGGGACGTAGTCACAGAGGACACTTTGTCTTTGAAGAGTAAGAGCTGTGCCTGGCTTGTCTTACCAGACATGGCTGTGGTGGGGGCTGCTGCTGAGCCAGGCCAGGCTGGCTAACAAAGGGTGAGGCCTCTCCTTGGGCTCAGGCCCTGGGTCTGAACAGTAGCCTCCCAGCTTACTGATTTCTTATTATCAGTGCTATTATTTGTTCTTCTTTTCAGTGAATTCTGGGAGTCCTTACTAAAGGCTGGACCTTAATGTCATCAAATATCTAGACAGTGTGCAAATTTCCAGTTGTCTCAAAAAAATCATTATTTTTTTAAAGTTTGTTCGAATCAGGTCCACATATTACGATTGATGATATGGCAAAAGTGTCTATTAATCTACAGGTTCCCCCACCATTCCACTTTTTTTTTTTTTTTTGTCCTTTTAACTTATTCTGGAAAAAACTAGGCTATTGGTCCTGTGGAGTTTCCCACAGTCTGGATTTTGCTGATTACAGCTCCTGGTGTATTTAGCTGGCTTCTTTGTTTTACTCATTTTCTTACAGTCTTACATGGTGGATTTTCCAGGACAGCCCTGGTTTCACTGCTTCTGTCTCACTGCACCTATTTCTAATGATAGACCCTAATTTGGTCCTTTGGAATATATGGTCCAAGTAAAAGGTATCACGAATTGTGCCAGATGCTGTTCTGAGCATTTTTTTTTTTTTTTTTTTGGTGAATTTACTGATTTAATCCTCACCATATCCCTAGGAGGTAGGTGTACTTTTATTTTCCCCATTTGACAGATGGGGAAACTGAGGCTCAGAAAGGTTATCCAGCTAGGAAATAGTGGGGCTAATAAGTAGTGGGGCAGTTGGGTCTGTGTTCTTGACCACTTTTCTATACTGACTGAATGAAAAGATGAATGAATGAATGCCCTTCCTATACCTGGGGAGGAAAGAGAGTTTGGCTTCCATGTTTTCTGTTTATTGTTATTATTATCATTTTTCCATTCATTTCCTTAATTATTTGTTCATGTATTCATTCATTTCTTTACTTGTCAGTCATTTGACTCAGACCTTATGTGGGGGAATGAAAACCCCTCTCTGCCCTTTTGGAGCTCCCCATGTAAGCAGAGGGATGTAATTCAGCGGGTTAAATGCTGTACCAAAAGACTATAAAACGTGGGTAGACATTCAAGGGAGGAATTTTGCTTTGCCTGGCATGGCAACATGGAGTCAGGGAAGGTTCACCGCAGCAGTGACAGGTGCCTGAGTTGGGTCTTGAAGGATGAGTCGGGAGTTCATCAGGCTGTGAGAAAAGCTCTGTAGGTAGAAAGAATAGCCTGGGCAGAAGCTAGGGCAAGCATGTTTTGGCTGGGCTTATGGGTTGCAGGAGCCCTGGTGGTACAGTGGTTAAGGGCTCGGCTGCTAACCAAAAGGTCAACAGTTTGAATGCACCAGCTGCTCCTTGGAAACCCTGTGGGGCAGTTCTACTCTGTCCTATAGAGTCGCTATGAATCAGAACTGACTCAATGGCAATGGGTATGGGTGAGTAGTGGGGGAAGCCATGAGGTTCCAGAACTTGACTCTAACAGCTGAGTCTGACACTGTGGACCCTGGCACCTGCTGAGCAGAAAGGAACGTGTTTCCTTAGGGGCTAGAAATAAAGGGCCCCTTGAACTTAAAAGATGTTGAGGACATGGAGGCCTGGTGACCTGATGCCAACTCCTCTTCTGCCACATGGAGGCCTGGTAAGTCAGACCTGAAGCTGACTCCTCTCTTCTGCCAGGTATTTCCTTGTGAACGCTACCTGCGGCGTCACCTGCCCACCCATGGCAGCGGGGGCAAGTTCAAGTGCCAGGTATGCAAGAAGTTTTTCCGGCGGGAGCACTACCTCAAGCTGCACGCTCACATCCACTCAGGTGGGTGCCCCCACCTCTGCCCAACTCCCACCCAGCTGCGTCCCCATGCTTCTGCTGGCCCTTTCTCTGTCTCCCTCACAATCCCCTCCTCGTCCCTCTCTCCAGCCCCTTCCTGGCCCCCTACGCACCTGCCCTCATTCATGAGCCAGAGCTTCCTCCCTACACTAGAGCAGAGGTGATCCCTTGGAGATGGGTGGGGGGACTCTTAACTCTGCCCTCTAAGAGTCAACCCCCCAGGACCATTCTGGGCTCCTGGGGGTGAGGGCACTGTCCTTACTACAAAACTTCCACCCAAGCCTGGATAAAACCCTCTCTTCTTGGTTCCCTAGGTGAAAGACAACATTTTATTTTATTTTAGCCTTTAAATTTTCTTATTAGTTACTGTCTTAGTCATCTAGTGCTGATGTAACAGAAATACCACAAATGGATGGCTTTAACAAAGAGAAGTTTATTCTCTCACAGTCTAGTAGGCTAGAAATCCTAATTCAGGGCATCAGCTCCATGGGAAGGCTTTGTATCTCTCTCGGCTCTGGAGGAAGGTCCTTCTCATCAATCTTCCCCTGGAGTAGGAGCTTCTCCACGCAGGAACCCAGGGTCCAAATGACGTGTTCTGCTCCTGGTGCTGCTTTCTTGGTGGTATGAGATCCCCCATTCTCTGCTTGCTTCCCTTTTATCTCTTGTAAGATAAAAAATGGTGCAGGCCACACCCCAGGGAAACTCCCTTTACATTGGATCAGGGATGTAACCTGAGCAGGGGTGTTATATCCCACCCTAATCGTCTTTAACCACAGGCAAAAATTATAACACACAGGAAAATCACAAAATGGAGGACAACCACACAATACTGGGAATCATGGCCTAACCAAGTTGACACATATTTTGAGGGGACACAGTTCAATCCATGACAGTTACTATTTTTTCAATTGAGAAAGTAGTGAAGTATTGAGAAAGATTCAAAGATTGAGAAAACCTGGGGGAAAAAATCTTCAACAATACGAAAGCACATGCAATAAAAAATAAACCCCCCCTCTCACCTCAGGTCACCAATTTTCAATATTTTTTTTTTTTTTACTATGACCTATGGTAAAAAAATACACTATATTGCAACCCAGTATACACATATACATACAGAATATATTGAAACAAAAGTTTTACAGAATAATATTTTCTATTCCATTCAGATTTTTTCAATTTTGGTTTTTAAAATAACTACCAACAGGCTGTGACTTGGTGTTTGCAGTTTGAAAAACACTTCTATTTCCCTCCCCAAAGGTAATAGCTGTTTACAGGTTGCTGTTGAGTTGACTCCAATTCATGGCAATCCCATGTGTGTGAGAATAGAACTGTGCTCCATAGGGGTCTCAAGGACTGATGCTTTGGAAGTAGATTGCCAGAGTTTTCTTCCGAGGCACCTCTTGGTAGACTTGAACCTCCGACCTTTCAGTTAACAACCCAGTTTGTTAACTGTTTGCACCACCCAGGGACTCCAAACAACTGTTAACTTAGTGTTATTTTGTCTATAGTGGTGCAAATGGTTAATGTGCTCGGCTGTTAACTGAAAGATTGGAGGTTTGAGTCCACCCAGAGGTGCCTCAGAAGAAAGGCCTGGTGATCTACTTTAAAAAATCAGCCTTTGACATAACATAGTTTATAAAGAATATGTTCTACATTCTACTTTGGCGAGTAGCATCTGGGGTCTTAAAAGCTTGTGAGCGGCCACCTATAATATTCCACTGATCTCACCTCATCGGGAGCAAGGGAGAATGAAGAAAACCAAAGACATAAGGGAAAGATTAGTCCAAAGGACTAATGGACCACAACTACCACAGCCTCCACCAGACTGAGTCCAGCACAACTAGATGGTGCCCAGCTGCCGCCACTGACTGCTCTGACAGGGATCACGATAGAGGGTCCTGGACAGAGCTGGAGAAAAATGTAGAACAAAATTCTAACTCACAAAAAAAGACCAGACTTAGTGGCCTGACAGAGACTGGAGAACCCCTGAGAGTAAAGCCCCCGGACACCTTTTTAGCTCAGTAATGAAGTCACTCCTGAGGTTCACCCTTCAGCCAAAGATGAGACAGGCCCATAAAACAAAACGAGACTAAATGGGCACACCAGCCCGGGGCAAAGACTAGAAGGCAGGAGGGTACAGGAAAGCTGGTAATAGGGAACCCAAGGTCAAAAAGGGAGAATGTTGACATGTCCTGGGCTGGTAACCAATGTTACAAAACAATATGTGTACTAATTGTTTAATGAGAAGCTAGTTCGTTCTGTAAACCTTCATCTAAAGTACCAAAAAAAAAAAAAAAATCAGCCATTGAAAACCCTATGGAGCACAGTTCTACTCTGACACAAACCAGGTCACCATGAGTCGGAGATGACTTGACAGTAACTCATTTCTGATGTTTTGACTATATAACACATTTGTTTATTTTTACAGAAATGGGCACAAAATAGACACTCTGTTATGTACCTTTTTTCTTCACTTATCAATAAATATACATTGAAGATGTTTCCTATCTGTACCTTCTTTTTTTATAGCTGCTAGTATTCCTCTGTATGGATTTACCATCTTTATTTAACCAGCCCCCTATCGATGGATGCTTAAATTATTTTTCAGCTGTTAGTTTGCATACACATTGCTGTGTGGGTCTCTTGGCAAGCTTTTTGGAGTATGTCTGCAATGTATATTCCTTGTCATGTTGTTGTTAGATGCCATAAAGTTGGTTCTGGCTCATAGTGACTTTGTGTACAACAGAATGAGACACTGCCTGGTCTTGCATCATCCTCACAATTGTTGCTATGTTTGAGCCCATCATTACAGCCACTGTGTCAGTCCATCTTGTTGAGAGTCTTCATCTTTATCACTGACCCTCTACTTTAGCAAGGATGATATCCTTCTCCATATTCCTAGCAATGGAATATACTACGTTAAAATGTATATGCATTAGTAATTTTGATAGATATTACCAAATTGCTCTCTTTATAGCTTTTAAAATTATTCTTATTCAAAAATAATACATGCTTTTTGAAAAAATGGAAATAATACAGAAGTACATAAAGTAAAAATGTTAAATTACCCTTCAAATCCTAATTGCTCCTGACAGTTTGGCATGTACCCTCCCCCATCTTTCTCCCTGCACATGCTGTGTATATACAGACACACATGGCTAGGGTTTTTTTGGTGGAGTGGACTTTGTATTTTCTCCTAACAAAGATGGGACTATACTACACTGTGCAACAGCTTTCTTTTCTTCCTAGCGATATGTCCGGGAAATCTTTCCAGGTCAGTAAACACAGATCAACCTTAACCTTTTTTTTCAATTGTGCTTTAGGTGAAAGTCTAGAGCTCAAGTTAATTTCTCATACAGAAATTTATACACATATTCTTAGTTGCAGTCCCTATAATGTGACCAACCTTGACCTTTTTAATGGCTGCACAGCATTCCATTGTAAGGACCAGAATTTCCTTAACCTCTGGATTGGCATTTTTCAAAAACACTTTATTCATTCCAGAGTGAAAACAGAGAGGAAATAATGGCAGGAAATCAAAACAGCCTAGGAGCAGCCCTTTTCCAAAGGGCAGGTTGTCACCCCACCGCAGCTTTGCAGACACCTCCCTTGATTTCCTGTGGGCTCCTCAGAGGCCTCCTGACCTCTATCAGATGCGAGCTGCCCCCTGCCCAGCTGCCCCCTTGCCCTATGTCCCTTCCCCCACTGGATGGACCCTCCTATATCTTCTCCAGCAGTAGAATGATCTGGATCATTAGTGGATCACACTGCTCACTGCTGGGCTGGAATCCTAGCTCCCCACCACTAGGTGTAAACTTTCAGCAAGTCACTTCACCTCTGTGAACCTCAGTTTTCTCATCTATAAAAAGAGAATAATGGTAGGAGTTACCTCATGGTTTTTTTATTGTGTTAAAATATACACAACATAAAATTTGCCATTTTAACCATTTCCAAGTGTACAATCCAGTGGCATAACTCACACTCACAATGTTGTGCAACCATCACCATTTGGTTTCAAAACTTTTTCTTCACCCCAAACGGAAATTCTGTATCCATTAAGCAATTAACTCCCACTACACCCCCAGATCCTGAGCCCCGACCACCACTAATCTACTTTCTGTCTGTATGCATTTGTCTGTTCTAGATATTTCATATAAATGGGATCATACAATATTTTTTCTTTTATACCTGGCTTATTTCACTCAGCATAATGTTTTCAAGGTTTATTCATGATGTAGCATGTATCAGTATTTCATTCCTTTTTATGGTCAAATATTCCATTGTATGTATGTACCACATTTTGTTTATTCATTCATCTGTTGATGGACATTTGGGTTATTTCCACCTTTTGGCTATTGTGAATATTGCTGCAGTGAACACTGGTGTACAAGTATCTGTCTGAGTCCCTGCTTTCAAGTCTCTTGGGTATGTACCTAGGAGTGAATTGCTGGGTCACATGGTAATTTTATGTTACTTCATGATTTTTTACAAGAATTCAGTTAGGCAAGGTGTGATTTCCTTCTCCCCCATTCGTTGCCCCATTACTGTAGAGTAGAGTCGATTCCGACTCATAGCGACCCCATAGAACAGAGTAGGACTACCTCATAGGGTTTCCAAGGAGCAGCTGGTGGATTTGAGCTGCTAACCGAAAAGTCACCAGTTTGAAACCACCAGTGGCTCCATGGGAGAAAGATGTGGCAGTCTGCTTCCATAGCGATCTACAGCCTTGGAGACCCTATGGGGCAGTTCTCCTCTGTCCTATAGGGTTACTCTGAGTTGGAATCAACTTGACAGCAGTAGGTTTTTTCTGCCCCATTACTCAGCCTCATCTTGGGCTCATCCTCAACTCCTCTCTTCTCTTACACCCCACAGCCAGTCCATTGGGCGCCTTCCCCCCAAAAAACTCAAACGCATTGCTGTCGAGTCATTTCTGACTTGTAACAACCCTATAGGACAGAGTAGAACTGCCCCATAGGGTTTCCAAGGAGTGGCTACTGGATTTGAGCTGCCAACCTTTTAATTAGCAGTTGAGCTCTTAACCACTGCACTACCAGGGCTCCAGTCCATTGGCAAGGGGTGTCGATTCCAGACTTTCCAAATATAGCCTAGACCCAACCACTTCCTGACTGCACCAGCCTTCTCCCTGCCTCCACCCTTACCCCCCGCCCTCCAGGCTTTTCTCCACACACAGCCAGAGGAAGCTTGTTAAAATCATAAATCAGATCCTGTCTCTTCTCTGCTTAGACCCTCTGGTGGCTTTTCATTTGCTCAGAGTGAAAGCCAAAGTTCTTACCTTGGCCTTGCAAGCCCTCCCAGTCTGGGCCAAGATACCTTGCTGACTTCACCTTTTGCCTCTTTCTCCCTCCATTCCCCCTGCTCCAATCACACTGGCCTCCTCATTGTTGTGTAGACACAGCAAGCATGCCTCCACCTCAGGGCCTTTGCACGTGCTTTTCCTTCTGCCTGGCTTGCTCCTGTACTACCTCAGGTCTCACCTCATGTGTTGCCTCATCAGAGATGCCTTTCCTGACCACCCATCTGAAAAAGCCCCTCTTGTCCTTGGCAAAACAAAATCATGAGGCATGGTAGACGCTGTTTTTCCCCCAGGGTACCGCCAGGAGCTGCTGCCCTGAGGGACACAGTGAGGACCTCATGCCCAGACTTCCTCTCACTGGACCTTCTCCCCCGTCAATGTCTCCTGCAGGTGAGAAGCCCTACAAATGCTCAGTGTGTGAGTCTGCATTCAACCGCAAGGACAAACTGAAGAGACACATGTTGATCCATGAGCCATTCAAGAAATACAAATGCCCCTTCTCGTGAGTAGAGGCTGGCATGGATGTGTGTGGGGGCTGATTCTGCCAGGGAAGGCAGGACGGAAAGATGTCCAGTTTGAAGACTGAAGGCCTTCTCTCCTTTTATCCTGTCCTGGGCCCTGCCTGCCTCACTCCCCACCTGGCTTTCTTGCCTAGCCCTTAGTGTGGACAAGGGTGTCCCTCATGCCCAGGGCCAGCAGAGCGGCTGGCAAGAGGGTCCTAAGCTTGCAAGTTCCTCCTGACCAGTGGCTTTGGGTTCTAGGACACACACAGGCTGCAGTAAGGAGTTCAACCGGCCGGACAAGCTGAAGGCCCACATCCTGTCTCACTCCGGTAAGCAGCTCTTTCGTGGGCCTGCCAGGAGGGGTCTGGTTTGGCTCAAGCCCCACGAGAGAGTCCTGCCAGGAGGAGAAAGAACAGATACATCCCTTGAGACTTACTAATCCTGCCTGGTACAATCCAGCCAGCTGACTTTTGCTCACATGGGCTGTGAGCCAGGCCCTGTGTTAGGGTCCTCAGGGAGTGCAGAGGTGAATCAGAGATAGTCCCCTACTGTGAGGGAAAGCTGACCTGAGAAGACATAGCTAAATCAGAGAGGTTCCCCGTATGATAGAGGTATGGATCAGATGTGGAGGGAGGGCAGTCTGACCAGGTCCAAGACATGGCCAGGAAGTTCCTTGGTCCCCCTCGGCAGTGCAGCTGGGGTATAGAAGAGGGATCTCCAAACTCCTCAGGTTCCCAGCAGTTTTACCAGAGCAGTTTGACTGGCTTTCCACATACTATTTGGTCTAGAACAAGGTTTCTCAGCCTTGGCACTATTGACATTTTAGGCTCGATGACTTTGTTGGGGGCTCTCCTATGCATTGTAGGGTGTTTACCAGCGTCTCTGTCCTCTACCCACCAGATGTCAGTAGCAACCCTCCTTCCAGCTGTGACAACCAAAAATGTCTCCAGACATTGCCAAATGTCCCCTGCGGGGCAGAATCGCCCCTGATTAAGAACCACTGATTTAGACAAAGGATTCAGTAACTAAAGAAAGTTTGAAAATTGGGAGGGTAGATTGAGACAGCCTAGGTTTGAGTGTTGGTGCTGCCACTTTCCTGCTGGGTGGCCTCAGGCAAATCACTGCCCATCTCTGAGCCTCCAAAGGCTGAGGGGGCCGAAGGCATCTGTGAAAAGTGCCTGGCCTAGGGTAAGTATGGGCTAGATTTGACTTCATGGTAGCTGTGGAGGCATCAATGATTCATTCAGTGAGTGATTGTTGAGAACCTACCATGAGCTGTAGTTCGAATCCGCTCCTTGGAAACCCTATGGGGCAGTTCTACTCTGTCCTGTAGGGTTGCTGTGAGTTGGAATGGACTCAGCGGCGACAGGTTTGGTTTTTTTGTTTTTGGTACCATGAGCCAAGCACTGGGTGTGCCATAGGGAATCAGACAAGCAGAACCCTACCGCCACCCTCTTGGGGAAGCTCAGCATTTAGTGGTGGAGACTGAAGAGAAACAATGAACAAGTAAGTATATAACAGCAAAGTACACTGAATGTGAAGCTAGAAATACACAGTGACAAGGCAGAGAATGAAAGGGGGGTATCCCGGAGGGCCTCCTTGAGGTGATATGAGCGCTGAGTCCTGGGGGATGAGAAGAGCCAGGGAAACAGCTTTCCAGGGCGAGGCAGCAGCAAGTGTGAAGCCTTGAGGCAGGAAAGGGACTTGGGGGGCATTTGAGAGAAGGAAGGGGGGAGGTGGAAGGCCTGAAGCACAGGGAACAAGGGGGGCAGGAAGAGGGAGAGGGATGGGGTATTAGGCCGCATGGGGTTTTGTGGGAAATTTGGGGAGTCACTGGAGGGTTTGAAGCAGGGAGTTTCATGATCAGTTCGTGTGTTTTACAGAGACGTCTTTGGCTGTCCTGTGGGGAATGGTCTGAGGGGGCCGGGGAGGGAGGAGGTGGGAAGCTGGCAGACCACAGAGGAGGCTGCTGCTCTGGCCATCCCCGAGAGAGATGATGGTGTCTTGCAAAGTTAGCCAAGGTTTGGGGTTGAGCAGACTGTTCCAGTCAGAGAGAGCCAGCAAGTGCAGAGGTACTGAGGTGGGAGTCAGCTTGGTGCAGTTGAGGAGAGCAAGCGTGGCCGATGCAGAGTAAATGGCCGGGAGAAGGTAGTAGATGAGAGTGGAGAGGGAGCAGGTGCTTGTAGGCCAGGGCGGGAGACTGGATTCTATTTCAGGTGCTGGGGCCCGCATTGCAGGTGGCCCCTCGCTGACCCCCCTCCTCACTTCTTAGGCATGAAGCTCCACAAGTGCACCCTGTGCAGCAAGTCCTTCAGCCGCCGCGCCCACCTTGCCGAGCACCAGCGTGCCCACACTGGCAACTACAAGTTCCACTGTGCTGGCTGCGCCAAGGGCTTTTCCCGGCACAAGTACCTCAAGGATCACCGCTGCTGCCTCGGCCCCCAAAAGGACAAGGACCTGCAAGCCCGGCGGCCTCCTCGGAGGAGGGCAGCCCCCCACAGTGGCAGCAGTGGTGGGCGCAAGATGGAGACCTCCCTACCTGACCCGCTGGGGCTGGAGGAGCTGAAAGACACAGGGGCCGTGGCAGTGCCTGAGACCACCCCAGGCAAGCCACCCTTTGCCGAGCCGGATGCCGTGCTGTCCATCATGGTGGGTGGCTCGGTGGGCGGAGAGCCCGAGCTGGTGGTGCCTGGGCATGCCGAAGGGCTGGGCTCCAACCTAGCACTTGCAGAGCTGCAGGCAGGGCCCGAGGGCCCGTGTGCCATGCTTGCGGTCCCCGTCTATATCCAGGCCTCGGAGTAATGGACCCATGTTTTTGCTCCCATGCACTCGCCTGATGTTTGTGTTGGGCCCGGGGCCTCTGTGGGCAGACTAGAGATCCTTCCCAATGGAAGCGAGCCTTCGGCAGAAATCCTTTTGGAATGTCATTTGTAAGCCCTGACTCGTGGCTGCCCTCTTGTGTCCTCTGTCCTAATGGAGAGCCCCTTAGCATTCTGGGGTTTGGAGTGGGGCTATCTATGAGGGCCATGGCAAGAGATGGCTGGAGCCTGATCAGCTCAGGGTCTGGCTGGTCAGGATGGCAGTTGGCGGCCTAAGAGAGAAGACAGGGCCGTCCTGCCCACTGATCTGCTTCAGTGGCCTCTTGTCAGGCTGTTTTTCTGGAGGCGTGATGTGGTTGGAGCCTTTATCTTTGGGACCTTTTTACATATGCTTCCTCACAGCATCCTCAAGACCACTGTGATGTAAGCATTTAGGAGGCATTCAAGTGTCGTGGTTAAGAGTGCAAGTAGCAGCCACATCTGACTTCAAATCCAAGTGTTGCCACTCACCCACTGTGTGACCTTGAGCAAGTTACTTCACGTCTCTGAGTCTTGTGTTCCTTGTCTGTGCAATGGGGCTTATAATAGTACTACCTCATAGGGTTGTCATGGGGATCCAGAATGATGAAATGTGTAAAGGGTTTGGCGTGGTGCCTGATGCTTGGAAAGTGCTCAGTAAATGTGTTTATCACAATTATGTGTCCAGGTGGTTCAGGCCCGAGCCTTGGCAGTTTCTTTCTTAGCTCCTAGGTGGCAACACTCTCCCCTCCAAAGCTGTGGGTCCCAGGGCCCCTCCCACGCATCTGATTCCTGGGTCTTGGCTGCCTCCATTAGCAATGAGCAGGTTTGGTGCTCCCAGAACAGGGTTTTTATAGAACATGGTCCAAGGAAATCCAGGGGAGGGGGTTTATACTCACTTTGGAAAATTCAGGATCCTAGGTCTAACCTCAAACTCTGTGGAATTAGAAATTCCCAGAACCAGAAGTTCATCTGGAGCAAGCCTCAAGATGGTCATAATGCCCCCACCTCCAGCACTCCCTGTTTGGCGAGGTGTGATGATTAGGGCACTGCCCCCCCGCCCCCCGCTGCTGCCCCATCTCCCCCTAGTCCCCAGGGCGGAGTGAACCAGTGGAAGGCAGGAAGGGAGAAAGGGACCTTGACAATGTTTCCTCATTCAGCTTTACAATCACCCTTCTGAGCCAGATCACCTCAGTTACAGGAGAGGAAACAGACTTGGAGATGGGGCGGGGCAGGACACAGCAGAGCTATTGGATTCCATTTGATGACTGAGTCCTTGAAGCTGGCGCGTCCCTCAGACCTCTGTGTTAGGGCCCAGGGCTGGTGCTCAGAGCCAAGCCCGACTTCCCTGCCTCCTCAGGAAGGGTATGATGTAGTGGGAGGGACAAGCGAGGCATTGGTGCACAGCTGGTGGGGGTGAGGGCTCTAAGTGGATCCTGTTCTCAAAAAGGCTGGAGGAGGCACTGGTGGGAGACAGGAAGCCTCCTCAGAAGACGTGACATTTGAGCGCTTTGATAGATAGATAAAAGCCAAACAAACAAAAAAATAGTTGCTGTCAAGTCCAACCTATTGCAAGTAGAATAGAACTGCTCCTTCAGGTTTTTATGGCTGTGACCATTTGGAAGCAGATCACCAGGTCTTTCCTCCAAGGAGCCTCTGGGTGGAGTCACACTGCCAACCTTTGAGTTAGTAGTCGCGTGTTTAACCATTTGTGCCACCCTGGGACTCCAGTGGATAGATAGGGGGAGGCATTTCAGGTAAGAGCAAGGCACTTTAGCAAATGCTTCTTCAGGCATGATGTGCAGGGCCTGTTGGGTTCCAAGGCTGTGAAAGGTCTAGGGTGCCCAGAGAGTTGGAGAAACGAGTGGATGATAATGATATTCTCTAATATTCTTCAAGCTTGTCCTTGTGGTGGACCTGGACCTGGTGCTAAGCCTTTTACATCACATTATCTCAGCCCTGTCAAGTGAGTACTGTTACTTATTTTACAGATGAAGGAACAGAGGCCTCGTTCCTTGCCTAGGCTCACACAGCTAATAATGGCAGAGCTGAGACTGGAGCCAAGGCGTCCTGCCTCCAAGTGCTTTTAGCCTCTTTGCTATATTGAAATGTGGTTGATGTCGAGTCAGAGTCTTGGATGTTGGGTAAAGGAATTTGGACTTTATTTTCCACATAATGGAGGAGTCATGGAAGCCATTAAACATTTTTTAAGTTGTAACAGGAACATTAAAAGAAATGTTAAAAAACCATATCTCGGCCTCATACCATACACAAAAACAAATTCAAAATGGATGAAGGACCTAAATGTGCAAACTGAAACCATAAAATTCTTAGAAGAAAATGCAGGGGCAACGCCGTCAGGCCTAGCTTTTAACAATGGATTATCTAATATGATAACAAGCACAAACAGTAAAAGACAAAATAAATACATGAGACCTCATAAAATTAAAATACCGACTGGGAAAATATCTTCAGAAACCATATATCCAATAAGAATCTAATAAGCAAAATATATATAAAACTTTGAAAACTTAACAACACAAAGACAACCCAATCATAAAATGGGCAAAGGACTTAGTTATCTTGTGCTGCTATAACAGAAATACCACAAGTGGGTGGCTTTAACACACAGAAATTTATTTTCTAACTGTTTAGGAGACTAGAAGTCTGAATTCAGGGCACTGGCTCTAGCTGAAGGCTTTCTCTGTCCGCTGTGGGGAAGGTCCTTTTTTCTTGGTTCCTTGGTGATCTTCATGTGGCTTGGCATCTATCTTCCCCCCATCTCTGCTTGCTGAATCTGCCCCTTTTATACCTCAAAAGAGATTAACTCAAGATACAGCCTACTGTAATACTACTCATTAACATTAAAGAAAGCCCATTCCCAAATGGGATTATAAAGGGGTAGGATTTACAACATATATTTTTGGGGAACACAATTCAATTCATAACAGACTTGAATAGGTATTTCACCAAAGAGGACATGCAAATGGCTACTAAACACATGAAAAGATACTCAGTGAAGATTAGACAGGAGCCTTAGGGGGCAGTGAGTTTATGTAAATGGAGGGGAACAACTCAGAGAAGTAGGCTGAGAATGGTTGTACAACTCAAAGAACGTAATCAATGTCACTGAATTGTACATGTAGAAATGGTTGAATCAGTGTATATTTTGCTGTGTGTATTCTCAACAGCAACAACAAAATTAAAAAAAAAAAAAAGATGCTCAGTGTTACTAGCCATCAGAGAGATGCAGATCAAAACCACGATGAGATATCATTTCACTCCCACTAGGAAGGCTAAGATAAAAAACAAACAAACCCAGAAAATAACAAATACTGGCAAGGATGTGGGGAAATGGGAACCCTTCTCCATTGCTGGTGGGAATGCAAAATGGTATAGCTATTGCGGAAAACTGTGATGGTTCCTCAAAAAACTAAAAATAGAACTGTCATATGACCCAGCAATTCCACTCCTAGGTATATAACCAAAAGACTTGAAAGCAGAGACTCAAACAGACATTTGTACACCAATGTACGTCGCAGCACTATTCACAATAGTTAGTGGTTGCCAGAGATGGGAGGGAGGGGGAGAAAGGGAGTTACTGCTTATGGAGTACTGAGTTTCTGTTTATGGTGATGGACAAATCACGTTGACTAAGGGTAAGGTTGCACAGTTAATTATTGTAATTGCTGTCAGTAAGTTGTACACCTATAAAAAGTTGAATTGGCAAAAAGTTGTGTGATATATTTACAACAATGACAAAAAAAAAAAAGTAGCTGCTGAGCTGCTTATGTACAACCAAACACCTCATGGAATTTGGTTCCTTGGTTTGGAGGTTTAGGGTCATGGTTTTATGAGACATCCCAGTTAATTGGCCTAATAATGTATTTAGTGCTTCTGTTCTACCTTCTAGTTAGTTCCTATGGTCTTAGCTTGCAAGTGGTCACCCAAGGCAAAAAAATTGGTCTCTATTAGCCTGGAGCAACAGAGGAAGAAGGAGAGACAGGAATAGAAGGAAATGGATGTGCCGCTAATTGCCTCCATGAACATCTGCCTCCTTTGCCATGAGATCAGAAGAACCGGATGGTTCTGGGCTACCATTACTGAACATTTTGATCAAAGATTCTATAGACGAATCCTGATCAAGAGGGACAGTATGCAGAACAGAATGTCAAATTATCATGGAATCGAGCATGTCTGGAGTCATGGAGGCTGGATGAACCCCTAGAACTATTGTCCTGGGATAATCTTTAAACCTTAAACCAGAAATATCCCCTGAAGTCTTTTAAAACCAAACAATAGTTTAGCTTAACTAGTAAAGAATGCCTGCCTTGAGTATTATGCTCTTTTAAGATCTGTCTATACGGGATCAAATTGACAACAGCAACTCTACCGATTAGAACCTGAGGGGGCAGTGAGTTTATGTTAATGGGGGGATAACGGAAAAGGAGGGTGAAAATGGTTGCACAACTTGAGGAATGTAATCAGTGTCACTGAATTGTACCTGTAGAAACTGTTGAATGGGTGTATGTTCTGCTGTGTATATTCCGAACAGCAGCAAAAATTATATAAAAAACTACATCTTGATCCTAAAACAACTATTTCAGTTGTATTTCTGTCTCTTCTTCCTGACACTGTGCACATGCTTACATATTTACCAATAACCATGAGAACTAACATTTATTAGGCACTTGTTGCATGCCTGGCACTGTCCTAAGCACTTTGAGGTAGGTGCTGTTGTTATCTGAGATGATGGAACAGGCATAGTGGAATGAAGCAGCCCAAAGTCATCACGCAGCAGGTAAGTGGCAGAGCCTGGCCACAGAACCAGGACCGTATCAAGATCAGGACCAATATTTAAAAGACGCAGAGTTAGATCAGAAGGGAGGAGGCCAGACAATACTGGGGTAAGAGATGCTGAGGCCTGAGCTGGGACTTCTCCCTAGCTGAATCCCTCCTAGGTCAACAGATGGGGAAATTGAGGCCCAGAAAGGGGAGTGCCTTCCCCAAGGGTCACACAGACACAAGGGACCCTTTATGAAGGTCCTGGGGGCTCTGATAAAGCCCTGAGATGCTGGACAGGGTGTAGTGTGAAGAGGGCCTGGCCTGAGCATCCAGGGTCCCACTCTACCCCTGGAAAAATTACAGGCTTTGGCATCAGGCAGACTTTGGCATCTACCCCTTCTCAGCTGTGTGACTGTGGGCTAATCACTTCCCCCCTCTGCACCTCAGTTTTCTTATATGTCAAATGAGGACAATAATTGTACCTACCTGATGAAGTTGTCGTGATAATTCAGGGAGACAATTCAGGTAAAGCAGAGGTCACAAATTGAATCCAGCCTACAGAAAGACTTTGTCTTTCGCAATGCTTGAAAAAATCAGCCAACATTTAAAAATAATGCAATTAAAAATCTACAGTATTGGTGAAAAGTGAGACACATTCCTTTTATTAGTCAAGGACAAGACAAGGGTGCCTGTTATCATGGCTCCAACATTATGCTGGAGGCCTAGCTAAAGCAATAATGCAAGAAAAATAAATAAATGACAAAAGGATCATAAAGGATTAAATAATAGCAAGGATGCTGGATTCAAGATCAATGTATAAAAGTCTACTGTGTTCCTATACTCCAGAAGCAGTTAGGAAATGTAATGAAAAAACTGGGAGATTTCATATAAAAATCTGAATTTCTGACTTCTATTGAAAATTGGGGTATCTGGCACAGTCGGGCAGCAGTTGGTTGAGCTGTGCTAGGCCAGTTCCTTTAGATGGCCATAGTCCCCACTCTTCTGTACTGCCTCCCTGAGTGTCAGTTGCTATTTACTGTACTTGCGTTGGTTTATTTTAGAATAGAGAAATATTTCTGACTTGTGTTGTAGATTGAACTGTGTCCCCCCCTCCCCACCCCCCGCAAAAAAAAAAATATATATATATGTTATAAATCCTAACTTCTATGCCTGTGGTTATAATCACATTTGGGAATGAGTTGTCTTTGTTAATGAG